CTCAAGACTACGAGTTTTTTTCTTGAGAGAATGGGTATTACTGTTTTTTCATACCATGGCGCAGTACGTTTTTCTCTAACCTTTTTCAATTTGATGGGGGCAACAGCTTCTAATGTATTAGAGAAGATAGTGCCCATGTTGCTAGTCCTTTTGTCTAGTTCATGTTTATTTATGGGTACAGAAAGCAGTTGAGATAAATCAGGCAGTTTATTTATGAATCTATCTTTAGTGGTTGGAACAATAGTATGCACGATACAAGGAAATGGTCAGTAACATCATCACTTTGAGGTACGATATCTATATCAGTAAGATCGATTCCTTGTGATATAATTAAATCTAGCGTATGATTAAAACGATGAGTGGGCCCGGTGACGTTTTGCTTGACTCCAAAAGAGGTTTATTAGGTCAGTAAACGCAAGTCCTAATGCATCATTTGTATTATCAACGTGAATGTTGAAATCTCTGACAATTAGCGCTTTATCAACAGTAACCAATAGGTCTGAGAGGAAATCTGCAAATTCTTTTAGGAAATCTGTATACGGCCCTGGTGGTCTAGACACAGTAGCCAGAGCAAGAAATACGATAGATTTCTTTTGCATATCTGACAGTGTAACATTAAGCAGAAGTATTTTGAATGAGTTAAACCACATTAGTAACATTGAGAATATCACTATATATTGTTGCAACACCGCCGCCACGACCAGTCTGACGGGGTTCATGCTTATAACAGTAGCTTGGTGGAGTAGATTTATTTAGACCAATATAATCATTTGGTTTTAGCCAGGTTTCAGTCAAGCAGACTGCATCAAAACTATTATCTGTGATCATTTCATTTACAATAACTGCTTTGGGTGCGAGTGACCTAATGCTTGGATGTACTCATACCCATACAAACATGTCATACATGAAAGAAAAATACATATTCAGGTATTAAAAAAAGAATAAAAACAATTACATGACATGCAGATTAAGTAATTGGATTAATCACAATTAATTGCTTAGAAAAGTCCCCAAATAAAAGTAATTCAGATATATTGTTGTACCTAAAAAAACAGTGACTTTAGAAGTAAATATAATCTTTGTTTTATTTATTTGTATTTTATTTATATTTATTTTCAATTGTAATTTTATTTAAATAATATGTTATTTTATATTTATATTTATATATATATATATATATATATATATATTTGAACCTACAGTGCTCCTTCCAACTGCTTTTGAATTTTAACCTGCTCTCATGATGTCACAATCTAGAGTAGGGTTGTACAAAAACATACAATTGAAACGTAAACCTAACCCTAAATCTCAGCCATGATTATAATATAAAAATGGATAAATAGGGTGAAATTGGATGAACGTACCTGTAAGGTTCTTGAGGCATGTTTGGTTTCATTACTTTTTACATTATGTTACTTTCACATTACATTACTTTTCATTCAAACCAGGACCATTGACAAAAAGAAAAAGGTGCCTGTGGTGACATTTCTCCAAAATTATATTATATTGCTTCTTGCACACTTCATGACACTTTCAAAGTGAAATGTCCAGTGAGTGACACAACAACAATTGTGTTTTGTCTCCAAAACATCTGAATGTGAATGTGGCAACATTTGTTAACACTTTAGAATAGAGAACACATATTCACTGTTAACTAAGAGTTTTCCCCAAACAAACACTTAATGTACTGCTTGTTAATAGTTAATAAGGTTAGTTGTTAAGTTTGTGATAGGATTAAGGGATGTAAAATACAGTCATGCAGGATAAGGAATTAATTGTTCCTTAAAATAAAGTGTTACCCAACATTTTATGTTGGTTGTTGTACATATCGCAGCAGTTCGAATATTATATGTCCGATAATTGGCGCCTAGTAAGGTTAATGCTTTATTGTAGTTAAAAATAACATACCAGCTACACTAAACCGGACCCAAAACTTCACTGCTAGTGTTAACAAAAATAAAAGTGAGATAAAAATACATTTGCTAAAGCAACCATGCCATTTTATCTTGCTTCTACAAGCTCTTTTATCATGACTCATGTTTCACAGACTCGTTTCCAAGTTCTTCACATCTTAACCAGGTGAGGTGCCAAGACAGTTTACTACATCAGAAAAGCTATCCATATGGAGCTGGTTATGTGATGCAAATGTGAACATTTGTTAGTTTACAGATCATGAACAGGAATAAAAGTTGTTGGTGTTTTACTGCCTTTAGTGTTCATTTAAGCTGGAAACTGCAGTGAATCGTATGTATCGGTAGATTTTTGAAGTTTTGCAAAAATGTAGATAGAGGCACGTTTTTTCCAATAAGCATGTGTTGCTAAATTAATGGGTAAAATTGACCACTTCATTTATATTTGGCATATCCACCAAATAATTCTCAGACATTTCACTAAAAATACTTATGGTACTCTTAAAGGGTTAGTTCACCCAAAAATGAAAATTAGCTTTGAGTTAGTCCTGGTTATTCCAAGCTCTATCATTGCAGTCAGCGGGTGTTGCAAAGAAGAATGTCGGAGGATTTCGATATAAACCAAGAGGAGACTGGTTTTCCTTTGCTAAAGTAAGGAAACTTTGCTTCCTTTGCTCCTACAATGGAACGGCTTCCGCGTATGACAGATACCGGTAGTGAGAGAAAAGTGTTTATTACGTTTGAAATATGGGTATTTTTCTTACAAAAACGCATGCATTCACTACAGGGGGCCTTTATTCACCCCCCGGAGCCATGTGAGGCGGCACGTTTTATTTTGGATGCGCGCGCTTTATTTGACGACTTGTGGACTGTTCAACTGCAACACGCGCTCCGCTGACTGCAATGATAGAGCTTGGAATAGCCAGGACAATTTTTAATATAACTCCAACAGGATTTGTCTGAAAGAAGAAAGTCGTGTACACCTAGGATGATTCGAGGGTGAGTAAAACTCAAGTCTAATTTTCATTTTTGGGTGAACTAACCCTTTAAGAGTACCATAAGTATTTTTAGTGAAATGTCTGAGAATTATTTGGTGGCTATGCCAAATATAAATGAGGTGGTCAATTTTACCCATTAATTTAGCAACACATGCTCATTGGAAAAAAACGTGCCTCTATCTACATGCACACTGAGTCCAAAATTTTCGCACGTTGAAAAATAAATACGACCCTGCGTTGTGTCAATCACGTTTATACACTGCCTCCGAAACTATCGTCCGTCAGAAAAGAAAAAAAAAACCAGGTTCGATTTTCTGCATTTTGATAGGAAAGGATGACGAATACGAAAAACACTTATGAAAATTTCGGACTCAGTGTGCATTATATGTTTTTCTGAGGCTGTTTTTAGTCCTTTCCTAGCTACCTACAAGAAACATTAGGTTTAATGGTCTAAACAAAACACATGATACTTCAGGTCTAGAGGAGACTGATCCTAAGTGAGAAGAAAGAGAAAATGGCAGATCTTTAGAAGTAGGTCAGATGTTCTCTAACCGATTTCAACATCTTGTCTAGTTGGCTGAAATGCTCCTCCTGATGTCTCGAGTTGAAGAAAAGTGGCTTTTTACTTTTTTTTAAGCAAGGAAATACATTGGGCTATCAAAAAGTGTGTAATTGGTTTATTTAAATAAGTTGTGCGTAAATAACGGATTTAATGAACACCACCAAATTATCCTACCTTTCCCACAACACTGTCATGCAAAATCGACATCCTCCAACTCAGCGCCTTGCGTACGGAGACTGCTGAAACAGCGTGACAATGTTAATCTCCTTCGTTCTGCTGAAGGGAGGGCGCAATAATTGCATTTATTCTTCTGCAGTGACAGTAGCATTTGTCCTTTGTGCCACTCAAAACAGACTCTGATTATATATAGAAACCCAGTGAGGTAAAGTGAGGATACACTTGATTTAATTCTGGAACATTCTGTTGAAGAGCGTCTCTGGGTGGAGTTTGGCAGATCTTTAGGGTTTGTGCTTGACTTCGTGCCTTTGGGACTGGAGAAGTCATTGACATTGGATGACAGAGACTGAGAGGTTTTGGATCACTGGAGGCCGATTTGAGCCAAACCAAGTGATGAAATGATTCTGATTGGTGTGAAGGACACTGGAATGTGTCTTTAAATAAGTGAATGTGTCATTATGTATGAAGGGCCTGTCTGTAAATCTGGGCCAACGGTTATTAAATGTGGATTATCATAGATTAAATGTATATTTACCCATGTAAATTCTTCAAATTCATATACAGCCATGAGAAGTAGTATATGACCACATAAACAATTAATTGCAAAGCAATCTCAAAGTATTTCGCAACTTATTTTCTTCCTGCTTGATATCTGTTAATGTCATGTTTTTTTTTTAAATGTCACATCCGTCAGGCTTTAATCACTTGTCTTTCCCACATCATAGGCTTGTGTATGAAAATGTCATTCAATGCGATTAACACTCCTCTGATTCTTGAAGGGTTTATTTAGAAGTTGCGCAGTTTGCTATTTATCAAGTCCATATCTTGCAGCATGGTTTGCCCCTTCATATTGACATTCTAATGTTTTTATATATGTCATTGATGTATTTTCACAAAAATGTTATATTTAATTGTCTTTAGGATTATCTCTGGCCATGTGTATAGTGTCAGGGGTGTTTTGGTTCTGTGACAATGTTGTTCTGTTGTGTTGATATGTTTTTCTCTCTGTAGATGTTGACTGAAGCCACTCTGGATGCCCAGCAGACTCGAGCCTGGGATCATTTCCGCACTCTCTACAGAGGACCATCTAGGGTATGATTGACCTTAAAATCTGTTCTTTCCATTCTCGCACTATTCAAATGTTTACATGCCACGACTTGCAGAATGTTTATCTTTCCTTTTTATTCTCAAAAAAACTGTCATAAAAATGTTATTTTAATCATGGTGAAGCTATTTGACATATAAGCTACAGTTTAAAAGTTTGGGGTTGGTAAGATTTTTGTGATGTTTTTGAAAAGTCAATATTAATATTTTCACAGTGAAATTGTACAATTTATTTCAAATTGTATTAAATATTATAATTTATTACAATTTTATTACAATTAATTTCTTTTTACCAATGTTAAAAAAGTTTTTGCTGCTTCTTTTTTTGTGTGAAAACAATGATACATTTTATTTTTCAGGATTATTTAGTGAACAGAACTTTCAAAAGAACAGGGTTTATTTGAAATAGAAATATTTTGTAAGATTACAAATGTACTTACTGTCACTTTGATCATTTTAATGCCTCACTGATAATTAAAAGTATTCAATTCTTAAAAAAAATAAAAATCTTACAGGCCCCAAAATTTTGAATGATATTGTATCCCACAAGACAAAAAAAATCACTTAATTAATCACATTATCCTGTTTAATACATACTCTTACATACCCTGGTTATTATCTAGTGTTGACACCTCAAGCATCAATATCTGCTTGCAGCCTTTTGTGATAGCAGTGCATAATAAGTCCCTGGTTTGTCCTGAACATTAAATTTGCCCATCTGTTCTTTGAAAAAAGCCCCCGGGTACTTTAAGTTCTTGCATGCAAGTTGAATTCTTCCCCACAGTGGCTCAATGATGTTGAGATCCAGCTTCAGGACAATTGAAGGACTTGTACATTATTACAAAAAGGCTGGCAGCAGTCATGAATACTCAGGGAGGCAGTACATGATACTAAGAACCAAGACCGCAAAGACATGTTTTATTTTCAGCAATTTCATTTATTTTTCTTGTGGAATATTTGTAAATGTCTATTATGCAGCTTATTTAGTACTAAAATCAAATCAAATTCTGTAGGACTAATTAATAAATAAACAAAAGGCAGTTTTTAACAATATTTCTAATTTTTTTTAAATGTTAAACCTTGCAAATTAATCCGTGTATCATTCGTTCACTCGTTTTTTTATTTTAAGGCGATGCATATGACGATGCTAAAAAGAACATTATTTTGTGTATGTGGTGTAATGCAATGTGTTTATGCGGTTTAAGGTTCGAAGAGAGGTTGCTCCTCTCTTCCCCACCTTTCTGAAACACGTCGATTTTTACAAAGCTTATCGTTTTGAAATGACTCTATGAGCGGTGTCAAAGTTACTTTCAAAGAAAGTCTGTTTACTCTGCGGCCATATTTGCAACGCCTCTGGGCAGCTCAAACCAAGAGACAAAGTCCTATCTAAATGAATGGGGTAATCCTGAAATCTCAAAAACTGCCCTATGAACTCACAATTAAATTACATATTTCAAATTTGAAATGAACTGCCCCATGAATGTTGTTTCTTATGCTCAAATAGCATTGAAAAAGCTGATTTTTTAGTGTAGGCCAGCCAATGCGCATGCACAGTTACAACGAGCTTATCGCTGCGCATGCGCATTGGCTGGTCCAGCCTCAGGTTTCTATGGGAACCAGAGCTTCTAATGGCTGCTGCAGTGACGCAATGACTTTACCAGTCATCTTTCATTTAGGCTCTTTAATTTTTTTCCGCCATATTGCGTGTTGCAGTTTCTCCCATTCATAAATATAGGAGTGATCTGTCTTTGTATTTCTATAGTCTTTGGCGGTGTGCTCTGATTGGCCAGATATCCAGTGTATTGTGATTGGCTGAATACCTCAAGCATGTGACGGAAATGTTACGCTCCTTACCATATTTGGAAGCACACAGTGTCTCCACGACATGGTGGCGACGGCAACAATACTACAGCGAGAATAAAGTTATGCCTTCTTTCTTTGCGTAAAATTTTGGGTGGTGTTATGCAAATCTTCCAACACAGTGACGTAGACATGTGGGGGCGTGTTTAAACGAGACGTTTTAAGAAGGCGTGGTTGAGTCTTAACTTTTATAAAAAATATCTCTTTGGATTTGAGACTTTAATCTTTTCGACTCTACAGGTCTTATCTATGCATGAACAGCTTGTAACACTCCAAAGAGAAAAGAAAGCTTGAAATCGCGTCATATAACCATATAAAAAAAAATCTAAATCAAGTGAATGAATGATACACAGATTCAAATTCCCTAAGGCAGTGGTTCTCAAACGTTTTTGCTCATGCCTCCCCTTTAAACTTTTTTTTAAACTCTAAATTAAAAAACACCTGCAATTGTTTCACTTTCACTGTGTCTATTCTGGGCATGAGCAGTGCAACGCGATGCAATTAAAGCCAATCTAAATTGGATGCGAGGCAACAGGACGAATCCCCGACAGTAAGCTGATGGCCCATTTCTATTTCTGACATACTCTAAGCGCTCTTGCTACTTCTGACACAAAGGACAAATGGATTTGCATCGGTCACTTTGTCATGTCCAGCGTAGACAGCCTTTAGCTGTTGCGGCGTGACGCAACAACGGTATATTTGTGTTGCTGTTGCTGTTGAAGGGTCAGTTCACAATAGCAGCTCGTGATGCCATTCAAGTGAACGGTTTGAATGAGAAAAATTTCGAGGAATTGGCGTTCGGCACCGCTTTATGAAAGGCAGAAAACCAACCACCATTCACACACTCAAATGCTATTGTCACGGCTGTTTTTTTTTCTGCTGATCTCCAGCACCCCCATGCAGTACCTGTGTGTGCCCCCTAGCAGTTGCACCCCACACTGCTCTAACTGTGCATTCACACCGCCGCCGTCGAGAGCATCAAAGTGGCCGGAAGTCATTCATTTTCAATGTGAGCCGGCGTCGAGCAGCGTCGCGGCGCGACTTGGAAGTTGAGGGTGTCACGGAGAGTTGAAATCAGGTCAACTTTATGGTAATGAGCTATGACGCGGTTCGGCGGCAACCAATCGGAATGTAGAAGTCCACCGCTTGAGAGGATTCCAGAGAACGCAGTCCTGTAAACTTTGGTTCCGACCACATTAGCTCCCAAGCAGAATGGAGGAGAGGTTGATTATTGCTGTGACGGGTTTCCCAATAATCTATGACGTGTCCCGTTTCCGTACAGGGACATAAATAAAAAAAAATTATGCGTGGATCAAGGTGTCTGAGATTGTTGGTGTTCCTGGTGAGTTGCTGATGTGCATTAACGTTATAGGAATAATAATCTAATGATATAATAAATAATAGTATAATAGTCTCAGTTGACTTTTAAACCTTTAAATCAATTTTCCTGATAGTAATGTTTATACCTGATTATACTTACTTAAGTAACATTTTCAATGCAGGACTTTTACTTGTATCAGAGTATTTTTACAGTGTGGTATTAGTGCTCTATACATTATGAGGTAAAGGATCTTAATACTTCATCCACAACAATATATAATGAGGTTAACTTAACGTTACCCTCCTTGTGGTCAGTCTGCACAAGATCAACAAGCGTGTTTGCTTTGCGACCCCTGTAAATACAAGATAAGCATTCGATCTACGTCAGAGCGTCCACAAATCTTTCTACAGCATTGTTGGCAGGGCGGCCAGAGTGATTTTTGACGCCCTCGACGGCGGCGATGTGAACGCACAGTAAGGCATATTTATACTCTTGAACTGCAGCTTTGTTGCAGATTTTGTGGGATTTTCAGTTCACCCAGTGACAAAACATGTGTCAGTGCCTTACAAGATTATTGCATAACAGCGGACTGTTATGCAATGCAATGCGTGTGTATGTGTTGCCTTTGTGTAAATACTGCAGTCATTGAGTCTTACTGTTTATGGGTCAGCACTTATCAGACAGAGACAATCCGAATATCTTGTGTTTTACTGTCAGTATCTTGAATACACTCACACAGTGCTCTGCCCTCTGACCTACTGTCACATCTGTGTACTCCTCACACTGTACGTGAGCAGTCCAGTTTTAAAGTCTAGAAAGGTGTGCACATATACCTATGTATGTGAGAGGTTGGAAGGCCATTTTTCTCCCCCTTAGGTTTATATTTATATACCTTTTCAAGATTATAGACCTGTAGTATTGACTCTATTTTCGCTCACAGTTCTATCCATCACATACACACAGATGCACTCAAATACACTCTCACCCACATGTGCACACCCCCACATACACTCACACAAACATAGAGACGCTTACAATCAAATGAAGGTCTATGTCGACTCAGTGCTGCTGACTAAAAACTAAGTTGACTCAGTGTCAAATGGAATTTTAGTTAAAAGTGTCTTTGATTAAGAGAGGCCCATTGCCCTAATTACGCCTGGAATTAATATTCATTTACTGTCATAATATAACATTAAAAGCCAGACATAAATGCACCCATGAGGCATTATGATTGGGTCGTGATCGAATCACTGAAAACATATTTGTAGGTGGTCTGACATGGATTACGACACATTTAACGGTGTAAAGCATTTTTGCATCTATTTTCAGTTATGCAAGTAATATGAATTGAGGTTACATTGTAAATAGTCATTTGTTTCACAATATAATTGAGGTTACACTGTAAACAATCATATACTTTACACTTCGCATAAATCTTTTTGACAGATTTTCACTACACTATTATTGAAGCCCAAATTAATAACACAATAAGAGATTATTGTAATTTAGAAATTAGAAATGTAGAAATTAAATGAATAAATAGTGCTGTCAAACGATTAATTGCGATTATTCGCATCCAAAATAAAAGTGTTTGTTTACATAATATATGTGTGTATACTGTGTATATTTATTATGTATATATAAATAGAAACACATGCGTGTATATATTTAAGAAAAATATGCTATGTTTACATATTAAATATATTTATATATAATATAAAATATAAGAATATAAATATATAAATGTATATGTAAATATTTTCAAAATATATACTGTATGTGTGTGTATTTATATATATATATATAT